GTAGAATGAAAGCAAATTTACAAGCGGCCCCTGGGGATAACATATGGAAAATTCGATTTTCCTTAACAGAAATAAAAATTTTCCACGCAAGCCATTTTCACTATATGATTAATTAATAGAACTAGGCTTCGAAAAATCAAAGGCTTTAATGTTGCAAGTGGCTAAAGAGTTGAAATAAGGGCGTAATCTTGTAAAGAAAAATCGAAATTTTAACCGATTTTTCCACACAAGCCAATCGAGAGTATGAAAACATACATCGTAACTAGCCCGAAAAACATATTGGCTTGAGTGGCGTGAGTGGATAAGTCCATTTTAAGGTTGGAAAATTTAACAGAAATTTTTTTCGATTTTTCAGTTATTTTCCCATCAACGAAATTTTTTGCAATAAAAACTTATGAATTTAAGAGACTAGAAAAAAATAATGGCTTGAGTGCAGAGCGTGGTCTTCATATTTTCAGAACATAGGAAAGTTGCTGGAAAAATTGCCACAATTTTCCCACACAAGCCGTTTGACATATGCTTAGAAAAAGTGATTCTAAGACTATATAACAAAAGGCCATCATATTATTTATATCTTTATAATTTATTCAACAAAAAGCTGACAAGAAAATCTAGAAATTTCCACCATTTTCTCACGCAAGCCGTTTGTCATATGCTTAGAAAAAGTAATTGTTAAACGATATAACAAAAGGCTTGATTATTGGACATGGAGCATATTATTTATCTAAAAAAGAACTGACCAAAAAGTTTACAAATAAATATTTATGCAAAGTTGTTATTATTATTTATTGTTCGGTGATTATTCGTATAGCAAATTTTAATATGAATTTAGTGTTGAATTAACAATATGTTTATTTTATAGAAAAATTTATATATATTCTTTCAAAGGGCTATTAAATATAAACTTTAAAATACCTGTTAAGGGTCGATCTTTTAACCTCTGAGTAAAGTTACATGTAGGTTTACTTGACAGATTAACAAACATTATTCCTATAGTTTAATCAGCAAGTAGTTACTTTCAACTTTACTTAGAGGTGAAAAGACTTGGCCCTATTAACAGATTCGTTACAAAGATATGTTGGTCCATTTTTGAATATTTATAAAATTAATGTATGTATAAAATAAAAATGCAGCTACTAAACATGAAAAAGTAGATATCCTAGAATTTAATGATGACAATCAAGTATTCTATGGAATAGACACTTCGAAACCATTTTAAATTGCATTTATGTAAGATATTAAAGCAATGAAGAATGTCATGAGATAAATCTTTTAACAGATCAAAATGATTTTCTTGAAGTCGATTAGAAAATGTTGATGTTCCTATGATATTATGTGACATTATTTCAAATTATACAATTTATTAGATTAAATAATTATTGTGCGTTATTTTTTTGGTTAAAATTGAAGTTACAGGTTGTTGTGTTGATTACATTAGTTATTTTTCTTCAAATTAAATAATTGTACTATGATATACATTTATTTAGTCAATCAACTGAAATATTTGAATTTTTACAATCATTTAAAAGTGCGTTAAGTTAATAAACATTTAAAAGGTATAAAATTAGTCGTTGAATAGTCCGGCCACGAGACAACTCTTATAATAAAATTAATATAAAATAACTTTGAGAATCGATATTTAGATGATTTAGGGTGATATTTAGGTTTTGATATTTAGGTTTTAGTTTTACTTTTTTTACATGGCGAATTATAAATGATTCGAAGCATATGCCAAACGGCTTGTGTGAGAAGATGGTGGATATTTATAGATTTTCTTGTCAGCATTTTGTTAAATAAATTTTGTATAACCATGTTCAACACTCAAGCCTTTTTATATATAGTCTTAGAATCACTTTTTCTAAGCATGTGCCAAAAGGCTTGTGTGGGAAAATGGTGGAAATTTATAAACTTTTTATGTCAGGTTTTTGTTAAATAAATTATATATAATTAATATGATGACCATGTCCGACACTCAAGCCTTTTGTTATATAGTCTTAGAATCACTTTTTCTAAGCATATGTCAAACGGCTAGCGTGGGAAAATGGTGGCATTTTCCATACAATTTTCCTGCATTTTTTCGACTCAAGCCTTCGTTTCGTCCACATCCGATCCTCATGCCAATTTTATTATTACGTCTAACACATTAATAACACTCTATGGTTAAAAAGGCTTGCACGAAAAAATAAAAAAAAATTTGCGGTAATTTTTCCGACTCCAAAATGCACTTATCCATTCGCGCCATTCAAGCCAATATGTTTTTCGGGCTAGTGACGATGTATGTATTCATACTTTCGACGGGCTTGTGTGGAAAAATCAGTTAAAAATATCAATTTTTCTTTACAAGATTACGCTCTTATTTCAACCCTTTAGCTACTTGCAACATTAAAGCCTTTTGTTTTCCGAAGCCTAGTTCTAATAATTAATCATATAGTGAAAATGGATGCATGGAAAAATGACCAAAAAACACCTTTTATTTCTGTTAAGGAAAATCGAATTTTCCATATGTTATCCCCAGGGGCCGCTCATTTTGCTTTCATTCTACTCAAAATCGATGTACTTTTTTACCCTCTTCGAGGCTTGCATGCGAAAATGGAGCACCTAAATCAGTCACTATCTGACGGTCTACTAGTGGTCTTAGGTAAAAAATTGTAAAGTACTAACAAAAACCATTTTCCTACCCATATTGCCACTAAAATGGCTAGATAGTTTAAAGTGTCTAGTGATGGTCATTGAAACTATTTTGGGACCTTTTAGCCTCTCTATGTACCCAGTCACTTTATTTAGGCATATAAGTGGCACTGGTGGGTAGCAGTAACTGATTCACTGGTACTGTGTAGTTCATGCCACTATATATAAACAATAAAATGTTCCAGTAACTACCCAGATATTACTGTGACTATATTTTTGGACTTTTTAGCCTATCTGTGTACTCAGTTAGTTAATTTAGACATACTAGTGGTACTGGTGGGCGACAGTAACTGATTCACTAGTACTATATAGTTTTTGCCAATATAGAGTAACAATAAAGTGATACTGTCTAGTTCCAGTAACTACCCTTGACTTTGGGTGTTTACAGTTCAATAAATGGTACCGGTATGGTAACTGTTACTTCTTAAGAATCAAATACAGTAGCCTTACCCAATAAGATAGCAATATTAGTACCAGGGTTTACCCCAGGCTTGATAGCAAAACCAAAAGGATATGTTACCAGGTGTGTTACTTGGTTTGGGCACTACTTTTAGCATATACTAAGACATTTACAATTTAATTTAGTACCATGTTAAATAATTAGCATAATTGTCCATCTTAATATTGTCCAGGCCGCATATTTGTATGTAACGGACGCAGAATACAATCTATTAACATTCGGAAATTGCCGAAGAGTAATTCGTATGTAGCAGACGTATTCCAACTAAAACTAGTAACGCGTCTGTTACATACACAACGATTACATCAAAAATCATGCCTTCAGATACCTAACCGATTAAAAAGAATAAGAAAGACACAAGGATGCTTAGTAAAATTTACTAATTTATTTACATCTCTTAGTAAATTATTTATGATGGTAGTGAGATCTTAAAAAACTTAATGGCTAATTTATTAATATTACTACTAACAACAAATTAAAAAAAAAAAACAGAAAAACCTTATTTTTGGAATTTATTATCACCAAGCCCTACGTTTTTTTCTACACACATTTTTAATGAATGTGCTGCTTTTTTTTCCACTGTGTCTAAAAGATTTTCTTTCAGAAAAGATATTTTTTCCTTCCATTTTGCTTCTTGCTACTGACGTTGGTTGAATAGGAATTTTATTTCCTTTGCGGCGAGTTGCTATGGTAGAAGTCCTATTTTTTGAAAAAACGCCTTTATATTTGAATGCAGTAATGCAGTAGCCAATCTCAGGTTTTAGAACGATAACCCTGCATATTTTACATGGCAACATCGCATTTTTTGTGATAAATCAATATCTGTTCTCAGTTTAATTAATGATGTGTCTATCAATAATTATTACTTTGTACGAGTCTGATGAATTTTTAAGTCATCGCTGCCCTTATGGCTAAACCTTTCACTATACGCTTTTAGATATAAATATACTTATCAACCAAAAAAATAATATAAATTACAGTTTAAAACCCAAGGAACACACCTTTAATACACGAAAAAATATAAAATAATCTCCATGCTCCTCAAAAAAACGTTACCAAAAAGAGTCCTCGGCAGGCTTTTGGCTTTTATACATATCAGAGCGTTAAGCGCCCAAAAACATAACTCAGAAATTTTGTTTACATACCTCTACATCTTCTTTTGTTTTAATTCTTAATTTGTAGGTGGATTTATTAATTACCTTCCAATCATACAGCTTCGGAAACCAAATCTCACTTATTTCATTCATATTATTTTCTTTAGACAGATATAAATAAAAACGTGTTTGGTTAAATTGGCACGAACGACCACAAAATACGAATTGACAAATAGAGCAGTGCTTTGTTTTGCGCTATAATAATCAATCACGCGTATGTAGAAGACGTGTTAGCAGTTTTGGTTGTACTACGTCTGTTACATACAAATTGCAATCACGCGAATGTAGCAGACGTGTTAGCAGTTTTGGTTGTACTAAGTCTGTTACATACAAATTGCAGTTCGCCATTTCACGATTTTATGTTGCGTCTGCTACTTACAAATATGCGTCCAGGCCATGGAATAATTTTTAGGTTTCTGTTTTATCGATTATACCTTCGTATATTTAAAAAGTTTTTGTCTTTTAAACGTTTTTTCAATATTTTTCAAACTTTGTCGGTTTTGTAATTTATCACCCTTTGACTGAGTTTTATGCTGATAATACGTATTTATCGGGTTAGTAATCCTTCTCTCACACACGCCGAGCTTCGGGAATTCCTCATTCATCATATGATGACTTAATAATAAAAATAATTTTGTTAAATAATTTTTTTACAAAATACAACATTGCTAATTATAATAAAATAACTTGATACTTACATAAAATTATGAATACAACCATTATTATGAAAAACAATATCGCCAAGATTGCGAAAAATACTGATAACTTGGTCGGACTTTTAAATCTGTAAAACAAAAATTGGGAAAAAGTCAGAAAGATAGTAATTGTATTATAAAAAAAATATCTACTACGTAACGTAAATCAACAAAATTTATACTTGGTGTCCGGCCATATTACAAAATCGTACAAGAGAAAATACTTTATAATTTTCCTCTATGTCGCGAGATCTATCATTTACAAAATATTGTACTTTCATAAAAAATTTATAATATTTTAACCCTAGCTTTCAGGAAAACTAAATTTTATTGTAAAGTGTGATGTGTTTCGTTATTTAGTTGCACAAAACGTGTAAATAATATTAATAATAATACTCTCCCTAATTCACCCCCTTACGAGTGAATTTTAACCTCAAAAGCTGAGCTTGTGCGGGGAAAGGGACGGCTATTATTATTATTTGCCGTGGCACTTTGGGGCGACTTAAAGATGATTGATGGTGCCATTTGACTTACAGGTGAGGAAAACTCCACCCATCATCATAAATGTTTAGCAAATTCGTAGACAAGTCAATGATTCCACGTAGTTTAGATACTAAAGGTCAAAGTATTTTTTTAAGAATAATTAAAAACTACGTATTTTAAGATTTCTTCATAACCGGTAGACACACTTCATGAACTTATTTCAATAATTAAAATAATGCCAGGAAGTAGGTATATTTTTCCAAAAAGCTACTTTGAAAATACCTTCTGCGTATACGGCGGATTTGCATATGCCAACTTTTAAATGAAATTTATCTAGAGCCCATTGTATGTTGCAATAAAGTATAATGATTTGAATTAACTTTATTAAAATAAAAAAGTTACTTACAATTTTCTAGAATCAACTTCAACCAATTCATCAGTACTAAAGGTAGTCAGTTGATTTCCTGTAATAAACATATATAATATAAAAAAATATTCCAACGAATTGAGAACCTCTTCTTTTTTTAATAAATCAATAAACGGAAAGTCATTTGGTTCTGTATTTCTCTTTTTTTTTTATTATTATTATTATAATCTTGGATAATGGAAATAATCAAGGGTAATATAACAAGACCTTGATAAATAGTCGACTATTTTTATTGTATCTAAATGTTGTGAGGCCTGTAAGAATCTTACCCTTTACAGGCTCCATTATGCTATGATTCTAAAGCGGACTCTATTCCATGTTTTTACCAGCTGCCGGCTTTGGGTTAACGATCGATGATAGAAAGAAACAAGCAAACCTGCATTTATCTCTGTTTATTTTACATGAAGAACACCACACTACATTTAATAATTATTTACACTATGTATACATACGGTACTCAGAACATTTATGTATTGGTCGCCATTAGAGCGTGGGTTTTTACCCAATTTTCGATGTGTCTGTTATCATAGTTGAGACGAGGCTGAAGGATACCTTGCTGCGCTTGCCATGGTTCCAAAACCGTTACGGCTCGCGCAATCATATTACCAACAGAATTTCTTTGTCACATCATTATTATTGATTTCAAATTCGTGAATCTGTATTGGATAACAACCGCTCTAGTTGTTTTCACTTTATTGACTTTGCCAACCTTGCTGAATAGTTACTTAAGTAAATGTTACAGGGGCGGTCTAGTCATTTCCGGATACTGATATTTTTGTTAAGGGTATTCTTAACACTAAATTTTGAGTGTTTTTGATATCAATTTGTCGAGACATAATTTTGTCATTAGTCCAAGAGTTTTAGCTCGAGGACACATTTGAGCAGTTGGATACCCTGTATGTGGACTAATTCCCGGGGCCCGAGCTCAAATGGGGGCCCGGCAACTGTAGCGAAGTTTTTTTTTTACTTTTAGAAGAAGTTTTTACTCGAATACCTTTTTTTTAGAGAAATTTAAGGAAAGAGGAGGAGAAATGTTTGCTTGAAGACCTTTTTTCTTAAAGAGATTCAGTAAAGAGGAGGAGAAGTTTTTGCTTGAAGATTTTTTTTAGAGAAATTTAAGTAAAGAAGAGGAGACATTTTTGCTTGAAGCCTTTTTTTTTAAATTTTTTTATAAGATTGTCGCGGGGCCCGATCTGGAGAATTGTCCTGGGGCCCGACCTGGCTCTCGGCGGCTTTGGTTGTACAAAATAACCTGAAAAAGCCTCTAATAACTCCCAATAACTCATGTGTTGGACACATCAGAATTTTTTAAGAACCATTTCATGTCGAATTTTGATTATGGTTTAAAAATTTTGTTTGAATGATTAATGTTTAAATATTGTATTGTATCCCCCTACCCGATATTGCTCATGTAAACATATTTGAGCCCCTTGCCCTTTAAGTCGGTAGATGTAAAATTAGTAAGCCCTTAAAAATATTTAGACCTTTAAACTCTCAATTATATCTAAGTAAAAGTAGTTGGCCCCTTTACACTGAACGCCTGCCCATTCAGAAATATTTGGCCCTTACCCCTTAAGCTTTTCCGTGTAAAAATATTTTAGATCTTCACCCCTTAAGTTCACGTAAAAATTATCATTATTTCATCATCCTGTATGTTATTTGCGTAGGGTCCAAAGGACCCCGCAATAATCTTATGGAAATTGGGTTTCTGTCAAATTGTCTGAATTTTTGATATGTTGTAGATTTTGTCATCCTAAACAAAAGTCTCCATGGGCACAAAGTGCTAAAATGAATATTTTGGCAGCTACGGAGCTTCCACCAAAGCTCCCTTGACCCGTTGCAAAACTATTCATTTTCAATACTATTTACAGATGTCAAAAGCATATTTTGAATATTCTAATATATAGGGTAATGTTTTTGAGGTCACTGGATTCAACCCTCATGTCAGATTGGACAAATTGACAGTTGACAGCTGACAGCTGTCAACTGTCAATTGGTCCAATCTGACATGAGAATTAAATTCAGCGACTTCAAAAACCCAAACTCTCAATGTGAAAATAGGATATTTACTTTGATATTCCTCGTTGACAGTCAAATGACAGCTGTCAACTGTCAATTTGTTCAATCTAACATGAGAATTGAATTCAGCGACCTCAAAAACCCAAACTCTCAATGTGAAAAGAGGATATTTACTTTTATTTTCCTCGTTGACAGTGAATTGACAGCTGTCAACGGTCAATTTGTCCAATCTGACATGAGGGTTGAATCCAGTGACCTCAAAAACATTACCCTATATATTAGAATAATTAAAATATGCTTTTGACATCTGTAAATAGTATTGAAAATGAATAGTTTTGCAACGGGTCAGGGCGGCTATCCTCGACAATCGCTAAAAAAACGAACCGTTTTCGAAAGTGAGTGGTTGAAAAGCGAGTAGTTTTTGAAATCTATATTCTTGACTGACGTTCGATGAGTATTCGTTTTTTAAGACGTGTACGTTTTTAACAAGCAAATAATATGTTTGGCATCACTGTAAACTGTTTATATCGTTGAATTCAAGTAATGTGCAGGCCATAAAAAAATAATTAATAATTGTAAATTTATCGATTGATGATTTTTTCTAATCACATTATATCTAAATGTTCAGGATATTTGGCGGAAAAATAGCTTTACGGATGCAGTCAATGCAACCTATAATTCCACGAAAATCGTACGTCCTAAAAAACCTAGTTTTTATGGTAATAAAATTAATTTAAATAATTTTGCAAAATTGTTAAAATTTTTGGATACAACGTGTAATACAGAAAAGCTTTGAAGCTACCATTTGCAAGAAAGCGCAAGCAAATATCTGTAAATAAAACACACATGAATTAATAATTAAATTCTTACACGGTAAAATATAAAAAATATTCATTCAATATCCATTAATTTCAAAAAACGGATTCTGCCTCTGCATGTCTGAATCTTTGGATACTTATCTTCCAAGTTTTCTAATTGTACCATTAATAATAATTAAAAGAAATTCTCAGCTATTTTTTAGTACTGTAAACCATATTTATAAGAAATTAGATACTTTTGTAGGTATCAATAAATAGTTTATCTAGAATTTGTTGAAATCAATCAATATTATTATTCATCCTAGAAGTGACATATAAGTGACATTGTCTAAATCCTTGAAAACATGCACGTTTTATCATAAACGTGTGAAAAATTCCGCTCGCTGTAAAACACCCATTTTAAAAACGAACACGCTTTTAAAACGAACGTCGAGAATATCGAATAGCTCGCATTTTGCTAAAGCGTATACGTTTTTTTAGAAAACGATAGCCGAGGATAGGGCCCCAGGGGAGCTTTGGCAGCTCCGTAGCTGCCAAAATATTCATTTTGGCACTTTGTGCCCATGGAGACTTTTGTTCAGGATGACAAAATCTACAACATATCAAAAATTCAGACAATTTGACAGAAACCCAATTTCCATAAGATTATTGCGGGGTCGTTTACTCGTTTAATTAGGCATTTGTAATAAAATTGGAATTAAAAAACGTTGATTGATTATTATTCCCGCTCAAAACCTGCCAATAGAGTAACAAATACACATTATTACAAAGTTTCCTAATATTATCCCTGGATGACAAAGATTTGTATTTCCTCTCGTAATCCATAGCTAGTTTCAGTGCTTAGTTATTGTATTTTTGTTCTAGTTGACATGTCTTATCTGACTTTTGTGAACGCCATGGAAATAAAATAGGAAAGGAGACGCAATCACGTGATCAAAAGTGTTACAACGACGGCCATATTGATACTAAACTTTCTTCTCTTGTGACAGTTTCTATCTTAATGTATTGTTTAATCTTATTATAATTAATTATGTATGTTTATGTAAACTATTCGTTTCAAAAACATTAAAAGAACAATGGGGTTGTGTACCAAGCGCAATTGCACAAGTAGGAATGGTATTGATAACAGGAAAATTTCAAAAATAACATTTTATAGGTAAGTATAAACACAGTGCAGAGAGGTTTTAAAATGTTGATATAGTTTTTAGAATAATTAAACTCCACTTATAAATAGAACATAGAAATTAAAAGAATATTCAAAAACAAGACCATAGGCATTTTGAATTTTTGTTGGTAATGTATTTATCCTTCATAACATTATTCTAGCAAAGTTTTAACCTTTAATGAGTATGGTCTCATTTTGGAATTTATTATTTTTGTTCATTCAATTATTATAATTCATATTTAAGAAAAGAATATACCCAAATAAATTTAAAATATCAAACATAATAGTGGATAAAACAAAAAAAATGTTTTATTGTATTCAGTTTATTTAATGGCGTTTGATTTATTTTTTGTGCAAGTAATTTTAAGATTCATGTCCAATACGGGTTTATTTTGCAAAATTACTATTAAATTTAGGATAAAAGTAGATATCATTTTTTTTAATTTTTAACAACACTTATCCAAAATACTTGATTTTAACGAAAATATATTATTTTTGAAAAAGTTTTAATGCCCTTAAAATTCGTATTAAAATATGCAACAACTACCAATATTTTATTTAGTTTTTATTTATAATTTCTGTTAAAATAGTTAAATAGTATATACTTGGGTATTCTATCCAGTTAGTATGGACCTGGTACGGCCACCATATTGATACTCGCCCACCGATATTATTTTTAAAATACATGTTTAGAAGAACATACATCTCCTTCAAAGACATTACAACTAAAAGACCAAATTGTTTACATTTTTATGTGACAAATCATTATTCCACCAGATTCTCTTTTATTGCTTTTTTGCCGGTTTTATCAGCATGTAAAAATTATTTGGAGAAATTACTTTCGAAAAATAAAATTTGATGTATCCTAGAACTATAATTTTATATTATATAAATAAAAATATGTTTTTAATCAAATTATTCTTTAAAGTTTTAATATAAGCTAAATTTTTTATTAAAAATCAATATTAATATAAACAAAATATTAGGGTTGCAAAGAACTCCGTAAATACGGCAACGCTGAATATCTTTTTTTTA